GGAAAGATGCCGTATAATTTTCCTTTCCCCGTTTGCCATTTGGGGTTCCCCCTTCCACACCACAAGGTTCCTCCCAGGGGCGCCGACTTATAAAAAATATTGGGGGGGCCCATACCGGGGTCCTGCCCCGGGAAGTTTTCTAAATTTTAGATGAAAATTAGTGAGTTTTAAAGTTTTTTAAAAGTAATCACTAAAGTCGGAACGCTAAACACGTCTGCAGCATGCACTGAACGAAACTATCCACGCTGAATGACTGCGCCAGCAGGGTGGGCTTTATATAGCCGCGGCGTCGTAATGTCTCGAAGCGTCAAGGCGACGCGAGGTGGAGGATTCCAGGCGCTTCTGCTCCAGTCCTTTTGATGTCGCCGTGGCCGCAGCGCTGGTCCGCCAGACTTTACACGAAGGTTCGCGCACCGGGACAAATTCTAAGTGTGCCCGCAGCACCGTAACACTATCATGATTCACACCACTCTTTTCAGTTAACCTGCTTACTACCGTAATCATTATTTGTTTTAACTCATTACTGAATGTATTTTAAAAGGTAACTATCGTCAAACAAGGAAAATAAAAAATACCAACATAATTTTGTGATTTTACAAAGCATAATATAACTAATAATTTTCTTAAATTATTGGGGGGGAGGGGGGGAGTGGAGGGCAAAGGATAATGGGGGGGTGACTGAGTCTCCCAAGTAAGACAAATGCTGAAAACAGCTAATATAACGATAAATGCAAGGCAAATAAAACTATAAAATAAAGGCACAACCGACAACAATAGGACGGAAGGTCAATATGAGCCAGAAGGGAGCCGCAGCACGGGGAAGGGTAAAACTATAAATTAAAGGCACAGCCAGCAACCATAAGGGGGGAGGGGGTTGGTAAAGGAAATCAGAGCCAGGAGGGAGCCGAAGCACAGGGAAGGATAAATACTATAAAATAAAGGCACATAAATAAGAAGAAGAAGAAGAGTTTGGATTTGATATCCCGCCTTTCACTCCCCTTCAGGAGTCTCAAAGCGGCTCACAATCTCCTTTCCCTTCCTCCCTCACAACAAACACTCTGTGAGGTGAGTGGGGCTGAGAGGACTTCACGGAAGTGTGACTGGCCCAAGGTCACCCAGCAGCTGCATGTGGAGGAGCGGAGATGCGAACCCGGTTACCCAGATCACGTGACTACCGCTCTTAACCACTACACCACACTGGACAAACAGCCACCCTAGGGAAGAGGGGGTTGGCAAAGCAAAGCAAAGATAAAACTATAAAATAAAGGCACAACAAGCAAGGATAAAAACTATAAAGCAGAGATAAAAACTATAACCTAAAGGCACAACCAGCAAGGATAAAAACTATAAATAAAAGGACAAACAGCAACCCTAGGGAAGAGGGGGTTGGCAGAGGAAAGCAGAGATAAAAGCTGTAAAGTAAAGGCACAACCAGCAACAATACGGAGCAGAGGGTTGGTAAGGGAAATCAGAGTCAGGAGGGAGCCACGATGGGGGCGGAGGGTGCCTGTGGGGGTAAACAAAGCATGGAGAGAGACACAAGGGGTTTGAAGGACAATGGAGGCTTGGGTCCGTGTAAGGTAAGCAGCCTCAATGTAATGTCTGCAAAGAGATGCCCACCTTCAGCCATTTTAAGCACAATTTCAATGCCTGCACCCCCAACCAATGCTAAGACCGCTCAAAATCAGCAGCTTGAGGAGCAGTTTAAAGAGACAAGCATTGCTTCCGGGAAGGGAAAAACTTCCGGAGGTACACACAGACCCGGTGGGCAAATATACCCCCCCCAACTCTGCACACACACCAGCAGATTCAAAGTAAAGCGTTTCTGCAATCGCACAAACACTCAATATATCCACACACAGTCTCAGGACACACCCCACAGATTTAAACAATCGCTTCTGCAAACCCACAGACTCTCCAATTAAGGAAAGCCTTTAGCAGTAAGAGGGGTAATATTAGCAGAGTAGAATTAGCACCCACAAAAACGTAGCAGTGAAAGCTCCCCCGCTTTTTTCCCCAAACAGCGCAGCAACGTTGAAGACACACACACACTCCAAATTAGCTAAACAAGGAGGCTAGATGGGATGTACAAAGAGACTCCCCAGATAGAGCAAATCAACACACACACACTCCACTTGCACACACAGAGGCACTCAACCCTCCCAAATCAACTATCGTAGAGAAAAAGAGAAAAGGTAAGGCAAAACTTCTCTGTTAAAGCTTCTCTTCTTAGTCAGATCCACGTGGTCGTCGCTGCTGGGAACGAACGGGGAACTATCCTGACTCGCTGCGGGACGACGACGACTGAGGAGGAGGCGGAGCTGGCCCCGCAGCATTAAGCTGCTAAACACGCCCACCGGAGACACCTGGTTGGCTGCCTCCGGTGGGCGTGGGTGCCAGCCCAGGTGAGGAGGGGCGGGGGCTAAGGCCCCCGGCCAGGAGGCGGAGCTCAGGCTCCCGCCCACAACCACTCCCCTCTCTTCCAGGGAGGAGAGTCTTAATAATTTTCTTAAATTATTGGGGGGGCAGAGCCCCCCCAAACGAATTTTTGAGGGGGCTCGGGCCCCCTCAGGCCCCATGGAGTCGGCGCCTATGGGGTGGTGGGAATGGGTGATTGGCAGATAGCTGTGATGAGCCTGTTGACGACTCTTAACGACTGCAATAGGTCTTACAGGAAAAAGCAAGGGGTGAGAAGGTGAAAAATGGCTTTGTCATGTATAATGAGATAAGAATCCAATGTCTTTGTTCAGACCAGGTCTCTCCATGGTTTTAAGTTTGGTAATGAGTTGCAATTCAGCAGCTTCTCTTTCCAGTCTATTTCTGAAATTCCTTTGTAGTAAAACAGCTACTTTGAGATCTTGTATAGAATGTCCTGGGAGATTGAAGTGTTCTCCTACTGGTTTCTCTGTCTTGTGGTTCTTGATGTCAGATTTATGTCCGTTTATTCTTTGGCGTAAGGTTTGGCCTGTTTGTCCAATATAGAGAGCTGAAGGACACTGTTGGCATTTGATGGCATACACAATGTTAGACGATGAGCAATTAAATAGTCCCGAGATGGTATGTGTGATGTTGTTGGGGCCAGTAATGGTGTCCAGGCGGCTGGATGGAGGTAAGTAGCCGGCCTTCTTGGCTTTGCCTGGATGGGGGTGGGGGAGAGATTTGGCCCCTCCGCCAGGCTAGGCCGCATTTTTGGCGTGCTCGGTTGGGCACGTTGCGGCCTTTTCGGCTTTTTGTCCGCAGCGTGGGAGGGAGATTGACTGCTCTGCCACTGGCTGCTGGCCTGAGCCCCAGCGGGGCTTCTAGTGCGGCCTGCTCGCCTTTTGCGGCGGCGGGGGAGGCATCGCTTAACACCGGCCCAGGGCCCCTGCTGACCTGGGAGGACGTCGCGGGACCGGCTAGGCCGCAAACACGGCCTGATTGCCTTTTGCGGCGGGAGGGGGGATCATCAATACATTGCACAGAATCATCAATACATCTTTTTTTAATATATATATTTATTATTTTTCCAAAAACACTAAAAGAAAAAAAACAATACAAGACATCAAATTAACAAAACAAGGTTAAGGCAATAAAATAAATCAACCAATTTCGTTATCCCATCTTTCATTCACTTATTTTCACGACCTCCTCACACCTCCCTTTTTGTATTCCACTTCTGTTAGTTATTTCAGCAATTCCTTTCCATCCTCCTCTGTTTTCAATCCTATAATTATCTTAACTCATTCTAACCTTATTTCCCCCCCTTTAATACTCTATTAACCTATCTATACTTAATTCCTTATAATATTTCTACTAAAGCCATATTACTTCATTCCAACATTTTTCTAACATTCATTAATTTTACAATATTTCTGTAAATAGTCTTTAAACTTTTTCCAATCTTCTTCCACCGACTCTTCTCCCTGGTCTCGGATTCTGCCAGTCATTTCCTCCAATTCCATGTAGTCCATCAACTTCATCTGCCATTCTTTGGCACCAATTGGCCGACCATCAATACATCATTGCTACATCGCTAAATTTCAGAAAGGGGAGGGTTACACAAGATTAGCATAGGCAAATGTGCCAGGATAACACCCAAGTATAATATTAGCATAGGCAAACATGTCTTAAGTACCCACCACCCAAAAGTACAACAGAACTTCCTTTGCATGTCTGGAGCCTGAGGCAAGTCCGGTGATGAGATCTGGCTTCCCTTGGAGAACAGTGAGCCCAGCAATTGTCACCTCGGGGCATTTCCTGGGTTAGGAGATGTGTATACATGTCTTCACGCTCCGAGAGGTGGCAGGGGAAAGAGTCCTTTTTCCAAGGGCAATGGAATGGAGGAAACTGGCAAAGGAGGTAATTTTATATTTTTAAAGCTAAGTATCTTCCCTGAGCTGTCAAGTTGAAAGGATAAATTCAGGCAGAATATTTGTAACATTTAACAATTTTAATGATGTGCCCCCCCCCCCCCCGGTCATTTCCATCACACATCTTTACAGAATAGTCTAGGAATTGCCTCCAAGGTCCAGGGACTGATCTGCCCTGGCTTCCTTCTCGGAGGTCCCTTCCGAAGGAGAAGGGGTCCCAGGTCTCCATGAAGGGGAAGCATCCCTGAGGCCTGCATTTGAGGCCGATGCTTTCGCCTTTCAGGCTCCGGCCACCTTCTCTGTGGTGTTTATATGTGAGCTGTAGAGATGGGATCACATGCAGACATCCCCAAATTTCGTAAGGATCCTGTGAAAAAGATGGGTTCTGCTTTGGAATAATGCCCCCCCAAACCACCTGTAAAATGAACTTCACAGTATGAAAAAAATATGTTTTAAAATTTGTCGCTGATTCATTTTTTGAATGTTTTAAAGAGTAGTTCCTACCAAAAAATTTAGTGTTTCAGTCTCATTATAAATCATTTTCATATTTATTTATTTTTTTAATTCAGTCATGTGTATGTAGGAGAAATTCAAAAAGAGAATCTTAGACTGGAGGTTACCCGCAGAAAACCAAAAGAAAAGGAGGAAGTGTCCAAGTGGAAAGATAGGCCTTTATTGAATACAATTGTGCCTGCAAAGAACCACATCCCAAAAAGTGTTGCCACAGAAACTAGGGAGCTAAAGATGCTCTTCTGGCAGAGGGGTAAAATGTCATGGCAAAAGTCTTGAGGGTAGAAACTGGAAAATACATTCAAAGCACTGATACGGTTTCTGACCTGTATGAGTTCTTTGATGGGAAGTGAGACGAACTTTGACAAAAGCTCTTTCCACGCTCATGGCATTGAAAAGATTTCTCCCCTGTATGAATTCTTTGATGGCTAGTGAGCTTGGCCCCCTCCCGGAAGCTTCATTTAGTCTCCATCTTCTATGTGTTAATTGTTCCCTTTGACATATAACTAATATTGAATAGTGGTCTTAGATTGTTCTCAGTTGTATTTCCACTTTCCTTTTTTAAAAAAAAAAAAATATTTATTACTTTCCAACAAATTGAACATACATAGAAAAAGAAAATAAACAGTACAATACAAAAACAATACCTAACACTAAACTAACAAAAACAATTTAAACTAAGAAAACAAAACAAAAACGATTTAAACTAAGAAAACAAGACAGAAACAATTTAAAACACATCATATAATTTCAATCTTTCATTCACTTATTTCCATGACCTCTTCACACCTCCCTTTTTGTATTCCACTTCTATTTAGTTGTTTCAGCAATTCATTTCCATCTTCCTCTGCTTTCCATCCTATAATTATAATAACACATTTTAACCTTATTTTTCCCTTTAATTCTCTATTAATCTATTTATACTTAATTCCTTATAACATTTCTACTGAAGCCATATAACTTCATTCCAACATTTTTCTAAGATTCATTAATTTTACAATATTTCTGTAAATAGTCTTTAAACTTTTTCCAATATTCTTCCACCGACTCTTCTCCCTGGTCTCGGATTCTGCCAGTCATTTCCGCCCTTTTAAACACAATTCAAGGATCCAAAATTAGTTTCAGTTTTCTGCTACTATTTGTTCTTTTTTTAAAAAAAGACCCAAAAACTGTAGAAGCAATATAGAAATAAAGTATTTATCTTGCTTAGCTAGCTGTCAGCTAGCTGTCAATGAACATTCCAAAAAACGTCAATCCAGCAGGCAGTCCGATTCCAGGTCAGAGCGGCAGAATTCTAACTCTCTTCACTCTCTCCTGCAGGTCTGCTCAGTCCACAACTTCCCCCCTCTTCTCCTGCCCTCGAGGGGGGAAATGTTCTTTACCGTTGAAATTTTAGTCTTTTGCGAAAGGCTTTCCAAGGCTTCAGCTTACAGCCTTTTTGCCTCAGTCTATTTACAAAAAGGGGAAGGCGGACTTCCTGTTTTGATCCTCCCTGCTTCAATGCCAAATTGTATGTTTAAAAGTCTAATTCTCCCGTTCCAGCTCTACTCACGGGTAATTACATTAGGTTCAAATTGTCCACAGGAAAAAGTCAGCACTCTCCGGCAACAGCTATGCAGCTTCGCTCCGTTAAAGAAGCAGACGACTAGAAGCACCGCGCTACTCACCCCACGTCGCTCCGGAACCCCGAAATCGGGTTTCCCTGCGAGTAGGGGAGGCGCAGAAGGTGCCCGCCGAGTCCCACGTTCACAGGCTTCTCCCGCCTGTGATTTTTCCCGGGTCTCTGCCTTTGCCGTAGCGGTCAGACCCTATTTTTCCCGGGGCAAATTCCTCGGGTCAGAGGAATTCCGCCATTGCCGATGGCGCTGACCCGGAAGTCCCTGTATTTCCACTTTCCAACAAAAGAGCCAATTCTTTTGTTGCCCACACCGCATCTCTTCTACTTGTTGAGTTTTAAGCATTATAATAAAATGTGGGACTTCCGGGGGCGGCGCGAACGGCAATGGCGGTCCTCTTCCACTAGTGAGGAGGAAGCTCCGCAGAAACTGGGTCGTCCGCTACGGCGAAGCGGAGACCCACTTTGGAAACCCACAGACAGCAAGAGTCTGTGGTCTCGAGGCTCGGTGGGCGCCAGAAGCGACCCTCAAAACGTAGAAGGAACCCCGTAAGGGGCTCCGGAACGTGGAGGGGGTAGCGGCGCTGTGAGCCGTTTCGCGATCTGCGGAGCGAAGCCGCGCGGCTGCTGCCGGTGAGCGCTGATCCCTTTTCCTGTAAATTTCTGATTCGGAAGAAAGCAACAACTCGTGAGTAAAGACTGATTATTTTAAACTTGAGACTAAAATATTGAATTTGGATGAAAGCGGAGAGACGTGGAAACAGGAAGTCCGTCTTCCGCTGTCATTGAACTTCAAAGCAAGGAGCTGGAGGAGTGGAGGCGTGAAAAGATCTTGCAACTTCACTGATCTGAGCACCCACGGAACCTACCTTTAAACAAAGTAAGGACTTTAAGCTAATGATTTTACCTATTTGCATTTTTATCCTTCTTCTATTGGAACTACAATTGGAATGAGAAACCCAGGGGCTGGAGCTGCCTGAGAGACTGAGATTGAACTGTCAGTTGCTGCAGATTTGGCTATTGTGTATCAGAATTAGTAACAATCTGAGGGCATTTGGACTGGATATTTTGAAACACCAATTGAAACACCAGTAAGCACTGGTAGAAACAAAGTGGCTGTTAATATTAACTCTGCTAAATACCTTCTTTTGAAGGTTCCTGGACACTAAACTGGACTTTTATTGTATTAGAATTCTTCCCTAAAGACATTTTAAGCTCCCTCTAGAGGATTTGAGAGCTACAACAGTCAACAGTGACTTTTATATTTACTTTCTCTTTCCTGGCCACCTGCATCTCTGGGCTCATGGTTTCCCATGGGAACAACTCAGCTTGACCTTGACTTTCAGATAACTTTGGAATGAGTGGCACAAGAAGAAGGGGAAGAACTAGACAAACAACTTTGACAACTTTAACCTCGGCCTTGCAGACACGTAGATCATCTGTACCTACTTTGCCTTCGGAGGAAGAAGCAGCAGCTCTGCCACAGGCAAGGGAGGGAGAAATTGAGCAGCTACAATTGGAAGATATGGCCTCAGGATCATTTGCTTCTATTCTAGAGAAAATCTTTGAAAAACTGGAATCTCTGGATAAGAGAGGGGAATCTTTGGATAAGAAAGCAGATGAGCAAACAGCTAAGATTGATCAAAATACAGAATGTTTAAATAGATTAACCGGACAAGTCGCACAGAACACACAGGTAATTGGACAGCTGACGGAGGCTACAGCAGAAAATCGGAAACTGGCCGAGGACACTAGTCAAAAACTTGAAAATTTAGAACAAGAGGTTAAACCACTCAGCAAACAAGTAGGTGAACATCAGACCTATCTTTCTATGATAGAACTGCGAAACCGGGAGAATAATTTAAGGATTAGATCGGTACCAGAAGTGGAAGCAGGTAATCTAGCTGAGTTCCTGACTAAAGAATTCTCCAAGTTTTGGAACTTGGAGGAAAAGGACTTTAAAATCGTTACAGCTTTCAGGCTTGGAAGACTTGTAAAGAAGGAGAGGCCCAGAGACTGCTTGATAATATTGAGATCGAAGGAGAAAAGGGATAAGATTTTGGGTCAGCACTACGAAAAGTCGCTAGACATTCTGGATAGAAGAATTGAAATTTACAAAGATATCCCTAAACAACTGTTGGACCTTAGATCCGCCTACTCTGAACTCGCCAGATTATTAAGGAGCAACTCAATTCTTTTCAGGTGGGAATTCCCCCAGGGAATATCTTTTACCTTCAGAGGGAAGAAGGTAAAAATTAGAACATTGGAAGATAGAGACAAATTTCTGTCTACACACGGAGAGGACCTTCAAAAAGGAATTGAATCACCCTTTGGGCCTGGAACACCGGCAGTACCGGCACCCTTGGAACCTGAAGACCCTGCGAACAAGGTACCACCCCCAGGAAAATAACCAGAATTAGCCAGGATGTCCCTGCAACTTTTGAGTTGGAATATAAATGGCTGTAACATTCCGGAAAAAAGGAAGAAAGTATTTCATATTTTAAAAAAAGAACAATTGGACATTATCTGTTTACAGGAAACACATGTGACTAGGCTCCACAGAAAAGTGTTAATAAACAAAAGGCTCGGCCAGGAATTTATATCTTCGGATAGAGTGAAGAAGAGAGGTGTGGTGATATATGCGAAAGAGAGCCTGTCACCTAAATTTTTATTCAAAGATGAATATGGAAGAATTTTGGCAATTGAGATACAACATCAAGGAGAAAAGATTTTGATATTAGGAATCTATGCACCAAACGAAGGGAAATCGGAATTTTATAGGAAACTGCACGAGACTATGCTGGACTATCTGGACTACAACAGCATCATTATGATGGGAGATATGAATGGGGTCGTATCAACTAACATGGACAAGTCACAAAGTCAAAATGTCACAAAAGACGGCAGACTACCTAAAACTTTCTTTGAAATGACAGACAATATGGATTTGATTGACATTTGGAGGACAAAGAACCCTTTGGGAAAAGAGGGAACATTCTTCTCTGAAGCCCAACTGACTTGGACAAGAATCGACCAAATATGGCTATCTAGAGGTCTGGCACCTAAGGTGAGAAAGGTGGAAATCTGCCCAAAGACGTGCTCCGACCATAATGCCGTAAAGATGGACATGACACTGCTACCGACCGGCTCCTTTAGATGGAAGATGAATGACAATTTGCTTAGAGATCAGGAGATTACTAAGAAGGCCCAAAAAGCCTTGAAGGACTATTTCGAGATAAATATGAACACCACGGTGGAAAAAAGAATCGTCTGGGATGCAAGCAAAGCTGTGATGAGAGGATTCTTGATACAACAGAACGCAGTAAAAAGAAGGATACAAAATGAGAGAAAAGATAAGATTTTGGACAAAATAAAAGAATTAGAGAAGAAGTTAAGACTAAACCCGAAGTCACAGCCAACTCTGAGAGAAATTAAACTCTACCAAGTACAATACTCAAAACTGATAAACCAGGAAATAGAGTGGAAGATTAAATTAATGAAACAAAAAACGTTTGAGTCGGCGAATAAATGTGGAAAACTGCTAGCTTGGCAGCTGAAGAGAAGACAAAGATTAAACACGGTTACAAATTTAGAGATTGAAGGAAGAAATATTCAGAATCCTATGGACATTAGAAAGTGCTTCCAGAGATACTTTAAAAAATTATACACTCAAGGGCCGCAGGATGAGGCTGAGATTAAACAATTTTTGGAAAAAAATGGACTACCAAAATTGTCACAAGAAAACAGGGCAATCCTGAATTGCAAAATAACACGACAAGAGATTGAACAAGCCATTCAAAACATGCAACTGGGCAAATCTCCAGGGCCAGATGGGCTGACCTCCAAATACTATAAGACACTAAAAGATTATTTGATACAACCTTTGATGGAGGTCAGCAATGAAATTATGGAAGGGAAGAGGGCGCCGGAGTCGTGGAAGGAAGCGTTTATCACATTGATACCAAAGTCAGAAGCTGAAAAGACACAACTTAAGAATTATCGCCCCATCTCTCTTCTAAATGTGGATTACAAAATATTTGCAGATATTTTGGCAAGTAGACTTAAAAAAGTTTTAAATGAAGTAATCCACAAGGACCAGGCAGGCTTTCTACCAGGCAGACATTTGTTTGCTAACACAAGGAATATTATTGACATTTTGGAGCTTTTGCAAACAGATACAAACACAAAAGCAGTTTTAATTTTTATAGACGCGGAGAAGGCCTTTGACAACATTTCCTGGAAATTTATGAAGGGGAATCTAAAGGAAATGGGAGTGGGACGGGGCTTTGAGAATGGGATTGAGGCGATATACTCAGAGCAAAAAGCTAAACTGATAGTTAATAATGTGGTTACAGAAGAGTTCAAAATTGAAAAAGGAACCCGACAAGGTTGCCCTATCTCCCCTTTGCTATTCATTTCTGTCCTGGAAGTGCTCTTGAATATGATTAGAGGGGACCGGTTGGTGGAAGGGATTCAGGTCGGAGAGAAACAGTACAAACTTAAAGCTTTTGCAGATGACCTAGTTTTGACCTTGCAGGAGCCAGAATCTAGTACGAAAAGAGTATTACAATTGATTCATGATTTTGGTCGGGTGGCGGGATTTAAATTAAACAAACAGAAAACTAAAGTTTTGGGAAAAAATTTGACAGATACAGAGTCAGAACGGTTTCAGAGAGAGACAGAACTAAATGTGGTCAAAAAAGTAAAGTACCTAGGGGTAAACATGACAGCAAAGAATTTGAGTCTATTTAAGGATAATTATGAAAAATGTTGGTCAGAAATTAAGAGAGACCTAGACAGTTGGTCAAAATTGAAACTTTCATTGTTAGGCCGAATTGCTGCTATCAAGATGAATGTATTGCCAAGAATGTTGTTTTTGTTTCAAACACTTCAGATTGTGGACAGGGTGGAGTGTTTTCAGAAGTGGCAGAGAGATATTTCGAAGTTTGTCTGGCAGGGCAAAAAGCCTAGAATTAAGTTTAAGATATTAACTGATGCGAAAGAAAGAGGGGGCTTTGCCCTGCCGGACTTAAAGTTGTATTATGAGGCCGCAGCTTTCTGCTGGCTAAAAGACTGGCTACTTCTCGAAGACACGGACGTGTTGGACTTGGAAGGGTTCAACAATGCTTTTGGGTGGCATGCATACCTATGGTATGATAAGGTTAAAATCAATAAGGCCTTTAAGAACCATATTGTCAGAAAATCATTGTTTAATGTCTGGACTAAATATAAAGACTTGCTGGAAAACAAAACTCCAAGGTGGCTTTCACCTTTGGAAGCAAAGGCCCGAAAAAGACTTAACATGGAGGCCAAGTGGCCAAAATACTGGGAAATATTAGAAAAAGATGGAGATAATTGGAAATTGCAGAGTTTGGAGAAAATGAAGGATAAAGTGCGTGACTGGTTACACTATGCCCAGATTAAAGAAGTTTTTAAAAATGATAAGAAACTAGGGTTCCAGGTGGAGAAGTCGAAATTAGAAACAGAACTGTTAGAACCAAAGACTAAGGTACTTTCTAGAATGTATAACTTGCTGTTAAAATGGAATACACAAGATGAAATGGTTAAATCGGCTATGATAAGGTGGGCGCAAGATATTGGGCACAATATTATGTTTGAAGACTGGGAAAGGCTGTGGAATAAAGGGATGAACTTTACTGCATGTAATGCTTTGAAAGAAAATGTAATGAAAATGATATATAGATGGTATATGACCCCAGTCAAACTTGCAAAAATATACCACCTGTCTGACAATAAGTGCTGGAAATGTAAAGAGAGTGAAGGAACATTCTTTCACCTCTGGTGGACATGCCCTAAAGTGAAGGCCTTCTGGGAAATGATTTATAATGAACTGAAAAAAGTATTTAAGTATACCTTCACTAAGAAACCAGAGGCCTTCCTTCTGGGTATCGTCGGCCAAGGGGTGGTAAAGAAGGACCGAACATTTTTTATGTATGCAACAACGGCAGCAAGGATACCTCTTGCGAAGCACTGGAAAACCCAAGATCTACCCACACTGGAAGAATGGCAGATGCAACTGATAGACTATATGGAATTGGCTGAGATGACCGGCAGAATCCGTGACCTGGGAGAAGAGAGGATGGAAGAGGACTGGAAGAATTTCAAGATTTATCTAGAAAAATATTGTAATTTGATTGAACGTTAAGCAGGATGCTAGATTATAAATAACTGAGCACCACTAAATTAGATGATACGGGATGACAAGTGAGATTGAGAGAATATAAATTTTATTAACTATTACATTATAAATAAATAGATGGGTTATAAGAATGTAAATAAGATGATGAATTGCTGGCAACAGTCTATAATGATGAAGGTGGGAGCGGGAGACGTGAGGAAGTCCAAGGAAGATATGAAAATATGCTATGACATTTGTTTTATTCTGTACTATATTTTATTTGTATTTTAAACTATAATAAACATTTATTAAAAAAAAATAAAATAAAATGTGTATTCCCTGTCTAATGGATGTTTGTCTCCATAAGTCCACTAATTTGTTGTCATGTACAAAAAGGAATTAGGCATTTCCCCCTCTTGTGTCCAATTTCTATATTATCCCGCCTAACCTAATGAAACGGCCCCATTTAGATCTCCCATTAACATTATATTCCCTATAAAGTTTATATCCCCTTTATAAAGTTCAGATGTCCTCCCATTGGGAGCATATATTCCCAAAATTATCCATCGCTGCCCTCTGACGAAGAAATGACCAGTCCATAATTTTAACGGTAGGTTTATTGTAGCTGTGAGAGACAAATAACGACAGGAAAAGCCCCAGAAACCCAGAAGACAAAAGTCAGAGATTGATGTGCATTATAATGAGTGAAATAAGTACTTGATCCCCTATCAACCAGCCAGATGCCAAATCTACCTGGTATCTTCACTGTATGTAATAAACTGAGATTAGAAGCACCTGGTGTAAGGGAGAAGTCTTACCTGTTATCCCAGGTCATTACAGTACCTGTGCAAAAGACACCTGTTGACAGAAGCAATCAATCTTACCAGGGCATTGAAAATGGGTCGAGGATAGGTATTCCAGCATGAAAATTACTCAAAACACACGGCCAAGGCAACAAAGGAATGGCTCAAGAAGCAGCACATTAAGGTCCTGGAGTGGCCTAGCCAGTCTCCAGACCTTAATCCCATCAAAAATCTGTGGAGGGAGCTGAAGGTTCGAGTAGCTACACATCAGCCTTGAAATCTTACTGACTTGGAGAGGATCTGCAAAGAGGAGTGAGACAAAATACCTCCTGAGATGTGTGCAAACCTGGTGGCCACCTACAAGAAACATCTGACCTCTGTAATTGCCAACAAGGGTTTTGCCACCAAGTACGAAGTCATCTTTTGCAAAGGGATCAAATACTTATTTCACTCATTATAATGCACAGAACATCAATCTCTGACTTTTGTCTTCTGGGTTTCTGGGGTTTTTCTTGTTATTCTGTCTCTCACAGCTACAAATAAACATACCATTAAAATGAAGGATGGCTTATTTCTCCATCAGAGGGCAAACAGGCAAATTTAGCAGGGGGTCAAATACTCACCCCCCTCCCTCACTGTAACTCTGGACCACTTTTGTCCTTTATTATGGTATTTTTTGCACGAAATGTTCCTTTCATATCTCCAATTTTCTTGAACAGATCTTTGGTGTTTCCCATTCTATTGTTATATGATACAAATGTGATAAAGGGTATTTTTAGTTATTCTCCCCCGTCCCTTTCTCTTTCCCATTCAACTGTGTTTTGTACGGGTTGTTTAATAATTTTTGCTTTATTACTTTTATTTTTTGGTCTTCCCTCTGCATGAATTCTTTGATGGGAAGTGAGACCATCCTTCCGATTGAAGCTCTTTCCACAGTCCAAGCACTGATAGGGTTTCTCCCCTGTATGAATTTTTTGATGCTGAGAGAGCGTTCCACTTTGACTGAAGCTCTTTCCACATTCCAAACACTGATATGGTTTCTCCCCTGTATGAATTATTTGGTGCAAAGTGAGAGTCTTCCTGTGACTGAAGCTCTTCCCACATTCCAGGCATTGATATGGTTTCTCCCCTGTATGAATTCTTTGATGGACTGTGAAATTGGCACTGTTTCTGAAGCTCTTTCCACATTCCAGGCATGGATATGGTTTCTCCCCTGTATGAACTCTTTGATGTGAAGTGAGACTGTGACGGAGACTGAAGCTTTTCCCACATTCCAGGCATTGAAAGGGTTTCTCCCCTGTATGAATTCTTTGATGGGAAGTGAGATCACCTCTCTGACGAAAGCTCTTTCCACATTCCAAGCACTGATATGGTTTCTGCCCTGTATGAATTCTTTGATGGGAAGTGAGATTGGAGCTCTGACTGAAAGCTCTTTCCACATTCGTGGCACTGAATAGGGTTTCTCCCCTGTATGAATTCTTTGATGAGAAGTGAGACTATCCTTCCGATTGAACCTCATCCCACATTCCAAGCACTGATAGGGTTTCTTCCCAGTATGAATTCTTTGATGGGAAGTGAGACCGGAACTGTGACGAAAGCTCTTTTCACACTCATGGCATTGAAAAGGTTTCTCCCCTGTATGAATTCTTTGATGGGAAGAGAGCTTTGACCTATCCCTGAAGCTCTTTCCACATTCCAGGCACTGATAGGGTTTCTCCCCTGTATGAATTCTTTGATGGGAAGTGAGACTATGGCTGAGACTGAAGCTCTTTCCACATTCGAAGCACTGATAGGGTTTCTCCCCTGTATGAATTCTTTGATGGGAAGTGAGATGTGCACTTTGACTAAAGCTCTTTCCACATTCTAAGCACTGATAGGGTTTCTCCCCTGTATGAATTCTTTGATGGAATGTGAGACTCAGCCGGATACGAAAGCTCTTTCCACACTCATGGCATTGAAAAGGTTTCTCCCCTCTATGAATTATTTGATGGCTTGTGAGCTTAATCTCCGTCCGGAAGATCTTTCCACATTCCAAACACTGATATGTTTTCTCCCCTGTATGAATCCTTTGATGTGAAGTGAGATTACCCTTCTGGCTGAAGCTTTTTGCACATTCTGTGCACTTATAAGGTTTGTGTCCAGTATGAATTCTTTGATGGGAAGAGAGCGTTGCCCCCTCCTTGAAGCTCTTTCCACATTCGAAGCACTGATAGGGTTTCTCCCCTGTATGAATTCTTTGATGAGAACTGAGATGGGAACTTTTTCTGAAGCTCGTTCCACATTCGAAGCACTGATAGGGTTTCTCCCCCGTATGAATTCTTTGATGGGAAGTGAGATGATCCTTCCGATTGAAGCTCTTCCCACACTGCAAGCAATGATAGGGTTTCTCCCCTGTATGAATTCTTTGATGGGAAGTGAAATGGTGGCTGTAACTAAAGCTCTTTCCACATTCCATGCAGTTATAGGGTTTCTCTCCTGTATGAATTCTATGATGGGAAGCGAGACTGCCCTTCCGAGTAAAACTCTTTCCACATTCTCTGCACTGATACAATTTCTCCCTACTCTTTGTTCTTTCGTGTGAAGTGAAGCTATCCCTCCTAACGAAGCTCTTTCTTTGATGGGAGGTGGACTGGGAGCTCTGACGGATGTTCTCTCCACACTCTGAATATTTATATGACTTCTCTGCTATGTGGATTCTGTTCTGGTCCCCCTTGTTCTTCTCTTCCAATTCTTCACCATCTGCAATGAAAAGAGACGCTAATTAGAGCCTCGGAAAGAAATGGCGCTCCAGATTACTGAACAAAGTCCGCCCCCCCCCCCGCGAGACTTGAGAGTGCTCTGTTTCAGGCTCAAGCAGACATCCTTGGAGTCTAACTTAATGTCATTGACGATGTGTGGTATCTTTGACCCCCCCAGCATTTCTGCCAGCATACCGTGACGGGGCACAGATGACACAGAAGCATCAAATCCAACACCTGACCCCCCCTCCCCCAGCAATGCACTGCCATGTTAGTGTAAGTCATGCAAACTCTGCATCGCTGTCCTGGACCCAAACCCCACTCAGAGCGAAGGGGACATGGTTCACATCCATTATTGAACAAAGTTAATAAATGCTTGTGACAGAGGAAGAACTGGAGAGAGTTAGGTGTGAGGCCTTACTATAGTTTTCACTGCCTTTGTTGATTGGTATTAACTGACATACCGCTTGGCTTTAATCTGGGATAGATTTTGTTTGGCTCAATCCTGGAATCCACTCCATCTCCGAGGTCAGTCTAATGCAGACAGAGCCAAAACAACAGACCTCACAGAAGTTATTTCAACTTCCCTAAAAGCTCTGAAGCCAATATTGAAGAAGGCCTGGAGGTTCAGACAAGCCTGGTCCTTGTTTAAAAAGGCATGACTAGATGGAGAACATTCACAGAGGAAAGAGTTGATATCCCTCCATTCAGGGTTCACCGTGGGGATGTTAGAATCCCAGACGCTGTTGGTCTCCCTCCAAACAGTGGAGGTTCAGGCAGGCAGGTGGAAGAGCCTGAAAAGGTGGCTACCCTTCTCCATCTCCATCTGCCTGCCTGCCTCCCCCCACCCCCAAACTGAGCAAGCCCCAATACCTCTCCAGCTCCATCCATGCAAGTCACCAGATCTCTTGGAGGTCCCTGAGAGGGAACGCTCAGAGGTTGTGGGGAGCGATGCGGGAGACAACCTGACCAGGTCAACCGTCCATCTCCCCCCTTCCATCCTCGCTAGCTTTGCAGGATCCGTCTCTTTCATCCTTCCTAAGGAGTCGAGGAGCCTGGGAGAGAGGAAGAAGCAAAGGGAACCTCAGATGCCCTGCAGGGGTTCTCCTGCCCTAGATATTCTCCTGCCCCTGAAGAAGCACAAATGGGGCAGCCCCTTCCCAACACAAGCCCTTTTCCTAAACATCTCCAGTGGTTCCGATGTAGCCTTATTGGAGTTCACCGATTGGGTCTGCGTTGCTTCGTGACAGGAGGAAGGAAGTCAAAATGACACCAAGTTGGTTCAAAGAAAGAGTTTATTCTGCTCTCCGGATAGCAGAAGGCACTTGCGTGGTGAGTCCACAGCAAGTCCAAAGAAATGACAAGTTACATGCAGTATATATACCCTCCAGGCACCCTCTCCCTCCTTCCAACCACGTCAGCTTGTATACGTAGGTTGACAATGAAGCCTTAGCTTACAGGGGATTCATTTGCCCGCTTGCCCAGGACCGAGAACAAAAGCACCAGGGAAGCAACTTCTTCGGAGAAAAGAGATTTATTGAGATCTGCGCAGAGGCAGCCAGTGGAATATCTTCCAAAGACTGGCGGCCTGTATACTGTGTTCAGCAAGCATTCTTATACCTGGGAGCATACATTCGTCTCCCCAATCAGCTGGCAAGGTTACAACTTATTACTTTATATGGCATATGGCTATATGGCTAGCTAAGCTCCCCTCCCTCCCTTGTATGTGTGTTCTTCTTCTCTTGCATTACTGAAGCAGGAAGCATGGAAGCAAGAAACAGCTTCTGGCCTACATAGCTGAAGCAATTGCGGTTTTAACCACAGCTGCTGCTAGCTGCTTAACCACAACTGCAGCAGTTAGCTTGGGTCCAGATATTATGGAGATTAACCCTTCCCTCTCCCTTCACTCCCTCCTCTTCTTATGAACAACCTAATCCTTAGGTTCGTTCTGGGGTATGGGCCTATACTCTCTCACATATCCCATTGAACTCAGTGGGGCTTTTGGACAGAACTTGGTGGCAAAACCAGTGGCGCCCTGTCCCCAATCCTGAAAACTGCAACCCCAGAGCATATGAAAATCGACATAGCTATTACCTGTGGGTGCCCCCATGCTAGTTCCTTTGAATGGAGAGCCCAGTTCACACTCTTTGAGCTCTATCACTGCAAGCCAGGCAGATGTTGTGGCCCTATTTGCCTCTGTCAGGGGTTGCCTGGGGACCAAATCTGTATGTGGAAGCAGAGGAGCTGGTGATGCCACATTTCTGAAATATCATGAGACGAATACACCACTCCTCCTTAGATATTGTCTGTGTTTATACACAAGCTTCGCAAGTCTCCAGTCTCAAAATGTGGCCCCCACCCTGGCATGGAAGCCATCAAAGTATAGATCTTCCACATGTCCTAAATCTGTAGTGTTCTTAAGAACATCAGGCATGTATACCCTTTATAAACTCCTGAGGTGAGCTTTACACTCCTCTTGTGACAAGATTCCCAAAGGCTGAGGGTAGCTTGAAAGAACTAGCCTATTTTGAGACTGCACCAATTTCCATTTCTTTTTTATCAAAACCCACAGATTTGATCTGCTAGATTTTTCCAGAAGGTTTTACAAGTACCTTTCAAGATGGTTAGAATTTTATTACAGATAGCCAAAAAGGATTTTATGTGTTCCATGTCCTGTTAATAGTACAAGCCACCCAATGACTGATAATCCCAGAAGGTTGGGAGAAGGAGTCTTTTATCCTTGTTTAGCATTTCCTGAGGATAGATCTGAAATCTGCTTTCACATTAGTTTGTCTACTTGTTTAGCCTGAATAGGGGAGAGACATGTTTTGTTGCATCTGGGACAGAGGAAGTGGCCCAGTTGTGCTGCTGCAGATGCAGAAGGGCTTTTCTTCTCCCTGTGCTCCTCCCATGTGCAAATGTTCCCGTCTGGCTACAGCCTCTGTTCAGAAATGTGACTTATCCCTCAATCTGAAGGGGGTTTCTTTGCATGCCCCCATGCAGTGGCGTAGCAAGGTCAGGTGTTAGCCGGTGCGGAAAATTTCCTGTCACTCCCCCCCACCCCATTGATTTTGTTTTGACTTTATTTCATATTTTCTTACAAAGGAATGTGGATTCTGGGCCTCTGATAACAAGTAGGCCACTGGGGACAGATACTTAATCTACAGGATGGGTTGTTTTGGCTTCTGTTATTTTATTTATATTTATTGTTTATTTAATAAAGTTTATTTTTAAAAACCTGCAAAACTGTTTACCAAAACATAAAACAAAACAAAAAATGACAGCAGTAAAATCAATAAAAATGAACAACCCTACTTTAAAACATACAAAATCTAAACTATTAAAACAGATAAAAATTCCTTCAGCTTCCCAAGCATCTGAGTAAGCTTGCCTAAACAAGACTGCTTTTAGCAGGTGCCTAAAAAGAGTCTAGCAAAGGCACTATTTATTGGGATTTCACCATGCTCTGTATTATCTGAAAAGGAAAACATTTATTTAAAAAGCAGGACGGCACAGCAGCAATCTACTCGCCTGGGAGTCTCATCATGATCAGTGGGACTTATTCCTGAGCCGACTGTGCATAAGATGGGCTAGAATCCTATGCACCCCCCGCATCCAACTTGTACCTAAAAATCTTCACAAACCTGCGCCAGAGAGTTGTAGAGTAGGAAGGGACCCCTGAGGGTCATCTAGCCAACCCCCTGGGGCAATGCAGCAATCTCAACTAGACCATCCCTGACCAATGGCCATCCAGCCTCTTCTCTGTGTGCCTTCTCCACGAGAGGTCTGGGTGGTGGCAACACAAAAACGAACCTTTTCTGCAGTGGTTCCCCATTTGGGGGAAGCTCTCCCAAGAGAGGCTCGCCTGGCCCCTTCCTGACATCTTGAGGTGCCAGGCAAAAACCTGCATTTGAATTATGGTGCAGAGTCCCATGGACTGCAAGATGATCAAACCTTTCCATTCTGAAGGAAATCAGCCCTGAGTGCTCACTGGAAGGACAGATCCTGAAGCTGAGGCTCCAAGACTTTGACCACCTCATGAGAAGAGAAGACTCCCTGGAAAAGACCCTGATGTTGGGAAAGATGGAGGGCACAAGGAGAAGGGGACGACGGAGGACCAGATGGTGGGACAGTGTTCTCGAAGCTACCAGCATGAGCTTGACCAAACTGCGGGAGGCAGCGGAAAACAGGAGTGCCTGGCGTGCTCTGGTCCAGGGGGTCACGAAGAGTCGGACATGACTCAACAAGAACGGATTGCTTTGAAGGGGTTTCTGCACCAGGCCAAGGAATCTGTAGCCCCCAATTACACTCCGCCCCCCCACCTGTATTTTGCCCAACCAAAGGTGCAACTCTACCTGAAGCACAGGAACGAAGCAGCAAAAGGTACTTGATGACCTCCAGGCTAGGAGGGGAGCGCCTCCCTCCGCCCCGGGCGCCCCACCTTGATTCCCGGGCTTCTTTCGGCCCCTCTCCCCCTTTCCTGCCCCTTGCCCAGCCTCCTCCTCCTCTCCGCCCCTCTCGCCCCAACTCCTCGAGCGACGCCCGCCTGCCATTTCTCCCCTTCCTTCGCTGCTGCCTCTCCTTTGCCTTCTGCCCTGGCTCTCCGCTCTCTGACTTGGGGGTCTCCCTGCCCCCTGGGACCCCCTTCTCCCCACGGCGCCCTCAGGGGGAAGAGAGAGGAGACTCACCCAGGAAGGGAGAGAAGAAAGCAGCAGCCTCCTCTCGGCTTGCAGGAAGGGAATTGGGCCAGGGAGGACCTTCACTTCCGGTGCCCTCTAGGAATCCAGCTCGGCTCCTCTTAACCCTTGCCAAGCTGAAAGCACCAAATCCTCCCCTCCCTCTCCCTGGCTGCAGTTTTTCCTGCTTTTGCGCCTGCGCTCCAGGGGCTGCCCCCTTCCCTCCCTCTGGGCCAAGGACTCTGCCCCAAGGAGCCCACATCGAAGCAGACCCCTAACATAACAGCAAGGGAGGCGGGGGTGGCCATGGGGGGGTACCTTGGCTCTGCCCCTCACCCAAAATAGAGGCTCCAGGGAGAAAGTGTCCCATGCAAGGAATTAAACGCACACGCGATCCTTTGGGTGGGGGAGACTCAAGGGGGGGTGACAGATGTGGAAGAGAAAAGAAATGACCATGCCTGCCTGCATCGGAGAGTAGGAATTACTTCTGAGTAAGCATGCATCGGTTGGGGCTGCATAGCAACGCTTCCAAAAGTGATGGGATCAGTGTGCGGATCTTACGAAATTAATGTCGTGCTCTTCTAAATGCACAGGGATAAGTGCATTCACACATACAAGGGTTCACAAACTCTTGCGTGTAACAGCAGGTGATGCAATAGGAACCCTTTTGCTGGGAGTTTCCTGAAGGGGATCTGCTTCACTTGGAAAGCCAAGAAAGAAAAGTGTGTGTAGATTCTGAACATGGCTGCCAACGTTTCCCTTTTTTAAGGGAAATTCCCTTATTCCGAATAGGATTCCTCGCAAGAAAAGGGAAAAGTTGACAGTTATGATTCTGAAAGCGGAGGAATTCTGGAGAAATGGCTAATTTGAATGACCAGCTTGAAGGGAGAGGGAAGGGTTAATCTCAATAATATCTGGACCCAAGCTAACTGCTGCAGTTGTGGTTAAGCAGCTAGCAGCAGCTGTGGTCAGACCGCAATTGCTTCAGCCATGTAGGCCAGAAGCTGTTTCCTGCTTCCGAGATGCAGAAATGCAAAGTAGAGAAAACACATAGAAGGGAGGGAGGGGAGCAGCTTAGCCTGACTAGCCATATGCCACATAAGGTAATAAGTTGTAACTCTGCCACCGGATTGGGGAAGTAAATGAACGCTGTTAGGTATAAGAATGCTTACTGAACATCATATTGGGGCCGCCAGTCTTTGGAAACTATTCCGCTGGCTGCCTCTGCGCAGAACTCAATAAACTCTTTTCTCCGAAGACGTGTTCCTGGTGCCTTTGTCAGGGGGATTGCGGGCGAATGGGCTCCGGCCCTTGGGATCCCCAATTAAATAAGGCTTCAAGGTAATGTATGTAGCAGGTGGGAGAACATATTAAGGAGCAAAAACGAAGAAGGCCTTGCGGGAAGCCTGTAAAGTGCAATTTCTTAACTAATAGGAATTGGAGGAGGGATATTCGGACGGTCTTAGGTTAAAAATTATCTGTCATGTGAACTGGAATGCGCACTCCCTCTTTCCAGCATGAGCTGGGGGGGTCTTTGCCTGTGCAGTGCTGTGACTCCTTTCACAGAGACATCTGAATCCCTCTGGGAAAGATCCCCTGGACAGTTTTTGTCTAACAGCCCCCCCCCCAATAAAAGTCCCACAGGCAGGAATGGGGAAGCCCAGGAAGGTGGGGAGAGGGAGGGGTGCATGTTGCTCAGGGGGCAGCCCCTCACCATGGGACGCTCCCAACGCCAGTTAAAAACAAGAGGGACACCTGCCATCCTTTCCCTGTGTTTCCAGCCAGAAAACCAGTTTACACTAGGCTCCCAGAACCATCTGACCCCATTTCCCACCCCAGAGCGGGGCTGGACCAATCAGAAGCCTCTGCATTGGACAGCTGGCCAATCTGCTTTCTTCGCCCACTTTCCTGAGGGAGTTTTCCTCCTGAGTTTCCCTCTTGGCTGCTCCCTTCCCTGCTTCTCCTTCATTTCTCCTTCATTCTCTTCCTGTTCCTCTTTCCCCCATTGTTTCGGGGGTCAGCTGGGTTCCCCCCACCCCATGGCCTGGCAGGCCCAGGAGGAGCCCACAGAGGCGGCAGGGCCAGGATATGGCATTTCCCGCCCTTTTCTGAAATAGGCAGGAACACCATGTTGTATCTTCTGGAGGCCCCAGCCGCTCCCAGAGATGCCGTGGCTCCCCTGTGGGCCACATGGGTCCCACACTCTTGGGGTTTCTCCTCCTGGCTGAAGGAGGGTGGCACCTTTGGGTGCCAGCACTCACGGGGTATCCTCAGCCGCCTTCCTGCCATGATGGCATTGCCTCCGCAGGGCGGCCTCTTTCCTCGCCATGTTTGCCCAGCAGAGGAGGCCTCTCCATTGGAAGAGGCCAGGCAAGCGGCTTCAGAAGAGGAAGCCATTTTGGAGAAGAAACAAGCTTGGCTGTTGTCTGCTGAGGGTCTCCTGCCTTTCTTCCAAGGCTTCCTGGGGGCTGCAATGGCCAGAGGAAGAGACAGCCCCCCCCCAGCCTGAATCCCCTGCAGGGCCCTGGGCAGCAACCAGAGCCTGCATCAGTTTCCTTTCCCAAGGTCTTGGAGGAACCTTGGGGTGCGGAAGGAGGAACCCCAAATGGAGATCAGGCTCCTGACAAATGGGGAAAGGAACTTTATATGGCCTCTGTGAAAGAAAACTCTGGGTTGAGAGACTACTCAGCAGCCCAGCTCGTTGGGGTACAAGTCCCCCACTGGTCCATGCGGTCAGTAAAAGAAGGAAATTCCAGCCAAGTAATTTGGAGCAAAACAGCAGTCAGTAGACTTAGAGCCTTTATTGTTGCGCAACAGGTTCAAATAGCAGTATGAACTCTGAGCATGGGGCGACATTAACTTTTAAAACTTTTGCACCATATCCCAGAATATCCACCCTTCCTTCCCCCCCAGTGGGTGGGGTTTGCAGCACCGAGCGGGGCTCGCCTGGGCGGGTGCCACTTACCTGCTTGATCCGGCCTTTGACCTGCCCTTGGCCAGGGAGGACAATGGACGGCCGGCCGGGGGTGGGCCTAAGGCCAAAAGAAAAGAGGATGACTCCGTTGCTCAAGCCTCTTTTGCTGTTCTTCTTCCAGGATCAGGATCAAGATCAGGAGCGTGTCCAGGCGGCTGGATTGAGGTAAGTAGCCGGCCTTCTTTGCTTTGCCTGGATGGGGGGTGGGGGAGAGATTTGGCCCCTCCACCAGGCTAGGCCGCATTTTTGGCGTGCTCGGTTGGGCACGTTGCGGCCTTTTCGGCTTTTTGTCCGCAGCGTGGGACTGCTTTGCTTGACAGCTCTGCCACTGGCTGCTGGCCTGAGCTCCATGTTTTATATTAAGATTCCTTTATTTTGAATTAAGGAGGACACACAAAGGAGGAGGACAGTTTTCCAGTATTCACGCGTTCCAAGAGACCGGAGACTTTTTTGTTAGGAATCATGACAACGGAAATCAAGAAGTCAAATAGACCATTATTTATGTATGCCACAACTGCTGCCAGGATTCTAATTGCGAAAAGTTGGAAAAGTGAAACCATCCCCTCAAAACTCAAATGGCAAACGAAATTGCCAGCATACTTACAGTTCAGGGCCGTGTTCAGAAAGTGGTGGTGGGGGATGAGTGTTCAGACCCCTGGGCTCTCACTTGTGGGATACCTCAGGGTTCTGTCCTCTCCCCCATGCTTTTCAACATCTACATGCAGCCGCTGGGAGAGATCATCAGGGGGTTCGGGCTGGGTGTTCATCAGTAAGCGGATGATACCCAGCTCTACCTCTCTTTCAAATCGGAAGCAGTGAAGGCGGTGAAGTTCCTGTGTGAGTGCCTGGAGGTGGTTGGAGGATGGATGGCAGCTAACAGATTGAGGTTGATTCCTGACAAGACAGAAGTACTGTTTTGGGGGGACAGGAGGCAGGTGGGTGTGGAAGACTCCCTGATCCTGAATGGGGTAACTGTGCCCCTGAAGGACCAGGTGCGCAGCCTGGGAGTCATTTTGGACTCACAGCTGTCCATGGAGGCGCAGGTCAATTCTGTGCCCAGGGCAGCTGTTTATCAGCTCCATCTGGCATGCAGGATGAGACCCTCCCTGCCCGCAGACTGTCTCGCCAGAGTGGTGCATGCTCTGGTTATCTCTCGCTTGGACTACTGCAATGCGCTCTATGTGGGGCTACCTTTGAAGGTGACCCGGAAACTACAAGTAATCCACAGTGCAGCAGCTAGACTGGTGACTGGGAGCGGCTGCCGAGACCACATAACACCGGTCTTGAAAGACCTACACTGGCTCCAAGTACGTTTCTGAGCACAATTCAAAGTGTTGGTGCTGACCTTTAAAGCCCTAAACGGTCTCGGCCCAGGATACCTGAAGGAGCATCTCTACCTCCATCGTTCTGCCCGGACACTGAGGTCCAGCTCCAATGGCCTTCTGGTGGTTCTCTCACTGCGAGAAGCTAAGTTACAGGGAACCAGGCAGAGGGCCTTCTTGGTAGTGGCACCCGCCCTGTGGAACACCCTCCCACCAGATGTCAAAGAGAAAAATAACTACCAAACTTTTAGAAGACATCTGAAGGCAGCCCTCTTTAGGGAAGCTTTTAATGTTTAATAGGTTACTGTATTTTAGTGTTTTGTTGGAAGCCGCCCAGAGTGGCTGTGGAAACCCAGCCAGATGGGCAGGGTATAAATAATATATTATTATTATTATTATTATTATTATTATTATTATTATTATTATTAGCAGCAAGGATAACCAGAACAGTAAGAGGAAATACAATACAAGATGGTAATAAAGAATGGAAAGTAATCAAAGAATATCTTAAAGATTACTGTGATAACAAAAGCTTTATGGCAGATAATAATAATATTTTATTTATATCCTGCCCACCCCAGCCGAAGCCGGGCTCAGAGCAGGTAACAACAGTATATCGAATGAGTCCTTTAATATAAGGAAATATTGGAGAAAACTAGAACCAAAAAGGAGAATGTGAGGTGTGTGGGGGCAAAGATTTAGGAAACTAAAAAATTTAAGTTCAAAATAGTACAATGAGTATAGTCGGAAGGCTTTTCTTTATCGTAAATAACATCATTTTCAATTCTTCTACTTTCTCTCTTTTCTTTCATTTATACTTTTTGTGTATTCATAATCTGTAATGTTTGAATGTAATGTTTTATATTGTATGTGTCAGGAAACTGACATCGGAGCAGAGTGGAGAGGCTAGGCTCCCCAATGATGCCGGAGAGGGAACCAGTACAGGGGTAGAGAGGGCTTACGCTGGGGAAGAAAGCCAAGGTGACACCAGGAAGAAAGAAGGGATTGAGAGCACTTCGGAGGGGAGGCTCCGAGACTCTTCAAGTGAGGTCAGTGAGGAGAGTGGAGGACCACCGGTGGGGACGCCCACTCTGCGCAGAAGGCTTCCGCGCAGAGAGGCGAGACGGAGGTTGTCCGTGAAGGAATTCTTATGTTGGAAGAAGTTTAGGAAACGCCCACTGACGGATTCTGCCAACGACTGAAGCAGTCGTGCTCAAGGGGGGCTGCTCAGCCGGGGAAAACGCAACCGCCTCATGCAGTTTGGAGCAGGTGGAGGTTTACACACAAGCAACCCCAATTCCCATGATAGTATGTATTTTTAAAATTTCGGTATAATAAAGGTTTAAAAATCATCTAAAACAGGAAGATACCTGTTTCTCGAAGCTACCAGCATGACTTTGACCAAACTGCGGGAGGCAGTGGAAGCGAGGTGCCTGGTGTGCTCTGGTCCATGGGGTCATGAAGAGTCGGACATGACTAAACGACTAAACAACCACAACAAAAACAGGAAGCGGGGGGAGGGACCTGCAAGGAATGCAGGGAAGGAAAGATCTCTCAGGGTGGGGGACGGGGAAAAGAGGGGGGCACCCAGGGGAGAGCTGGGGGAGCCTGCCTTTCTATGGGTTGATAAATGATATGATATATATGATACAAAGGTTATAAAGGGTATTTTTAGTTATTCTCCCCCCTTCTCTTTTTTATACACTTGTGTTTTGTAAGGGTTGTTTAATAATTTTTCCTTTTTTCCTTTTTGGTTGTCCCTCAGTGTGAATTCTTTGATGGGAAGTGAGAGAGATCCCTTGACTGAAGCTCTTCCCACATTCGAAGCACTGATAGGGTTTCTCCCCTGTATGAATTCTGTGATGGGAAGTGAGAGATGCACTTCGACTGAAGCTCTTCCCACATTCGAAGCACTGATAGGGTTTCTCCCCTCTATGAATTCTTTGATGGGAAGTGAGAGATGCACTTCGACTGAAGCTCTTCCCACATTCGAAGCACTGATAGGGTTTCTCCCCTGTATGAATTCTAAGATGGGAAGTGAAATTGGTGCTTCGACTGAAACTCTTCCCACATTCGAAGCACTGATAGGGTTTCTCCCCTGTATGAATTCTGTGATGATAACTGAGATGGGAACTTTTTCTGAAGCTCTTTCCACATTCGAAGCAGTGATAGGGTTTCTCCCCCGTATGAATTCTTTGATGGGAGGTGAGATGATCCTTCCGGCTGAAGCTGTTTCCACACTGCAAGCAATGATAGGGTTTCTCCCCCGTATGAATTCTTTGATGGGAAGTCAGATTGTGGCTGTAACTAAAGCTCTTTCCACATTCCATGCAGTTATAGGGTTTCTCCCCGGTATGAATTCTTTGTTGGGAAGTGAGATAGGCCCTCTGACTGAAGCTCTTTCCACATTCTCTGCACTCCCTACTCTTTGTTCTTTCATGTGAAGTGAAGCTATCCCTCCTAACGAAGCTCTTTCTTTGATGGGAGGTGGACTGGGAGCTCTGACTGATGTTCTCTCCACACTCTGAATATTTATATAACTTCTCTGCTATGTGGATTCTGTTCTGGTCCCCCTTGTTCTTCTCTTCCAATTCTTCACCATCTGCAATGAAAAGAGAAGCTAATTAGAGCCTCGGAAAGAAATGGCGCTCCAGATTATTGAACAAAGCCCCCCCCCCCCCGCGAGACTTGAGGGTGCTCTGTTTCAGCCTCAAGCAGACATCCCTGGAGTCTAACTTAATGTCATTGACGATGTGTGGTATCTTTGACCCCCCCCCAAGCATTTCTGCATACCTGCGGGGCACCTGTCTCTCTTGAAACCGGTGGGGCCACACTGCCAGCATACTGTGACAGGGACGCAGATGACACAGAAGCATCAAATCCAACACCTGACCCCCCCCAGCAATGCACTGCCATGTTAGTGTAAGTCATGCAAACTCTGCATTACTGTCCTGGACCCAAACCCCACTCAGAGTGAAGGCGACATGGTTCACATCCGTTATTGAACAAAGTTAATAAATGCTTGTGATAGAGGAAGAATTGGAGAGAGTTAGGTGTGAGGCCTTACTATAGTTTTCACTGCCTTTGTTTATTGGTATTAACTGACATATTGCTTGGCTTTAATCTGGGATAGATTTTGTTTGGCTCAATCCTGGAATCCACTCCCATCTCCGAGGTCAGTCAAATGTAGACTGAAGCCAAAACAACAGACCTCACAGAAGTTATTTCAACTTTCCTAAAAGCTCTGAAGCCAATATTGAAGAAGGCCTGGAGCTTCAGACAAGTCTGGTCCCTGTTTAAAAAGGCATGACTAGATGAAGAACATTCACAGAGGAAAGAGTTGATATCCCTCCATTCAGGGTTCACAGCGGGGATGTTAGAATCCCAGACGCTGTTGGTCTCCCTCCAAACAGTGGAGGTTCAGGCAGGCAGGCGGAGGAGTCTGAAAAGGTGCTCCTCTTCTCCATCTCCATCCGCCTGCCTGCCTCCCCTCACCCCCAAGCTGAACAAGCCCCAATACCTCTCCAGCTCCATCCATCCACGTCACCAGATCTCTTGGAGGTCCCTGAGAGGGAACGCTCAGAGGTTGTGGGGAGGGATGCGGGAGACAACCTGACCAGGTCAACCGTCCATCTTCCCCCTTCCATCCTCGCTAGCTTTGCAGGATCCGTCTCTTTCATCCTTCCTAAGGAGTCGAGGAGCCTGGGAGAGAGGAAGAAGCAAAGGGAACCTCAGAGGCCCTGCAGGGATTCTCCTGCCCTAGATATTCTCCTGCCCCTGGAGAAGCACAAATGGGGCAGCCCCTTCCCAACAGAAGCCCTTTTCCTAAACATCTCCAGTGGTTCCAATTTCACCTGTTTGCTCCTCACCCCACTTCCGAAGGCTGGCATGGTCTGCACAGTAGTGACCAGAGAGTAGATCCCATTGAACTCAGTGGGGCTTATGGACAGAACTTGGTGCCAAAACCAGTCACCATCGTGTCCCCAATCCTGAAAACTGCAACCCCAGAGCATGGGCAGAAAGTAGACAAGTAGCTATTACATGTGGGTGCCCCCATGCTAGGTGCTTTGAATGGAGAGCCCAGTTCACACTCTTTGAGCTCTATCACTGCAAGCCAGGCAGATGTTGTGGCCCTATTTGCCTCTGTCAGGGGTTGCCTGGGGACCAAATCTGTATGTGGAAGCAGAGGAGCTGGTGATGCCACATTTTTGAAATATCATGAGATGAATACACCACTCCTCCTTAGATATTGTCTGTGTTTATACACAACCTTCGCAAGTCTCCAGTCTCAAAATGTGGCCCCCACCCTGGCATGGAAGCCATCAAAGTATAGATCTTCCACATGTCCTAAATCTGTAGTGTTCTTAAGAACATCAGGCATGTATACCCTTTATAAACTCCTGAGGTGAGCTTTACACTCCTCTTGTGACAAGATTCCCAAAGGCTGAGGGTAGCTTGAAAGAACTAGCCTATTTTGAGACTGCACCAATTTCCATTTCTTTTTTATCAAAACCCACAGACGCTTTGCTAGATTTTTTCCAGAAGGTTTCACAAGTACCTATCAGGATGGTTAGAATTTTATTACAGTCAGCCAAAAAGGATTTTATGCGTTCCATGTCCTCTGTTAATAGTACAAGCCACCCAGTGACTGATAATCCCTCCTCATAAGGTTGGGAGAAGGAGTCTTTTATCCTTGTTTAGCATTTCCTGAGGATAGAGGATTTGCTTTCACATTAGTTCGTCTACTTGTTTAGCCTGAATAGGGAAGAGACATGTGCTGTTGCATCTGGGACAGAGGAAGTGGCCCAGTTGTGCTGCTGCAGATGCAGAAGGGCTTGTCTTCTCCCTGTGCTCCTCCCATGTGCAAATGTTCCCGTCTGGCTACAGTCTCTGTTAACAAATGTGAATTATCCCCCAATCTGAAGGGGGTTTCTTTGCATGCCCAGTTTTCCTTGACCCAAAGCCCCCTCCCCAAAAAGGAAGGCAGCATCTGGATCCAAAGGAAGAAGAGAGCTGCAGACCTCATGCGAACTCACCCCCTCCCTGGCTTGGCAGAGAGGACAAGGGGGGACCCTCTGCTTCCTGACTTGGAGGTCTCCCCCCACCAGGCATGATCTGGACCTCCATGCACCCTCCCTGCACCCCTGGGACCCCCTTCTTCCCAGGACACTCTAAGGGGGACAAGAGAGGAGACTCAGCAGATTCCAGGAGGGACACCGAGGAAGCTTTTGCAAAGGAGAAGAAAGCAATCTCCTCTCTGCCTGTAAGAAGGGATATATGGGAGGGAGGGAATTTAGCCATGGAGGAGCTTGCCTTCTCCTGCCCTCCACTTCTGTCACCAAACCTCGGTAACTTTGTTGTTTTGAAATTGGGAGAGACAAGTGATATTCTGCATGCTATAGGACTTTCAGTGAGACAAAGTTACCACGGTTTGGTGACCTAAATGGCGTCACGAACAGGATGGATACAGTAACTCAAATATCAGCAGACGCTTATTACTCAGTCTTGGATTTGGCGAACTGTTTTTTTTTGCAATACCTTTGACCAAAGACAGTAGAGCTAGATTTGCTTTTACTTTGGGAGGGAAACAATACACGTTCACCCGATTGCCCCAGGGATTTCACAGTGCCCCAGCAATAGCACGTTCTTGTGTAACAAAGATGTTAGATGATCTGGGGCCTGAAGATAGACCCCATGAGACTTCTTATGTAGATGACATTCTGGTGGTGGCTAAAACAATGGAAGAGATAGAAGAAAGAACCAGGAGAGTGCTGGAATTAATAAGAGACACTGGGTTTAAAGTAAACCTGGAAAAGGCTCAGATTGCAAAACAACAGGTAAAATATTTGGGAATTTGGCTAGAAAGTGGAGGCAGAGTAACTGAGGAAAATACAATAAAAAGCTTATGTAATATAGGTGATCCCAAAAATCTAAAGGAATTAAGGATGTTGCTTGGAGCTTTTGGATTTGTGTGATCCCATGTTCCAGCTTATGCAGAGTTAACTAAACCGATGTACCGGGTGCTGAAAAAGTGAGTGGAATGGAAACGGGACGGGCAATGTCAATTTTTTTTTGGAAGAATTAAAATTGTGGGTAAAAAGAAGCATAAAACTTTGGCAGCTTTTGGAGGCTCGTGGTATGAAGCAGGAATGAGACAAACAGCTTGGCATGGTTTAATCCCATACGGCACAAAGAGAAAATGGGATTAGTGGAAAATTTGTTTGGAGCACAAGAGGCTGAGGTTCAGGCTATCTTAGAAGTTTTGATTTTCCTAAAAAAACATCAGGAAGGTAAGGGTGAGACATATATAGTAATGGGCAGTGAATATGTACATAGAGGAGTAACAGAATATTTGAATTTGGGGGCAAAAGGTGAATTTAAAAACACTGATAGAAATGAATTGAAAACACAAAGTGCAGTGGAAACAGACATGGGAATTGTTAAAAGAAAATGAGAAGAAGAAAAAATTGCTTGGATAAAAGCATACCCCAAAGAAGTAACAAATTGGTTACAGGAAGGGAACCAATATGCAGATCAGCTAGTGAAGAAAGCAAAACAAGAAGTAAAAACACTAAAAGAAAGGCAAGATCATACTGATCAGTACCAGCTTTTAAAAGATATACATGAGGTAGGACATGAAGGAATGGAAAAGGTGTTCCAACGGTCCCACGAATTTGTAGAATGGAAAGGAAAAAGGATAAGGATAAGTGACATAGGGACCCCTGACCATTAGGTCCAGTCGTGGCCGACTCTGGGGTTGCGGCGCTCATCTCGCTTTACTGGCCGAGGGAGCCGGCGTACAGCTTCTGGGTCATGTGGCCAGCATGACTAAGCCGCTTCTGGCCAACCAGAGCAGCGCACGGAAATGCCATTTACCTTCCCGCCGGAGTGGTACCTATTGATCTACTTGCACCTTTGATGTGCTTTCGAACTGCTAGGTTGGCAGGAATAAGGGACATAGTGGATTCCTGTATACCATGCAATTTAGTGAAAAGGGAGTATGAAAAACAGGAAGAAATATTATTACCAGTGAAGGAAGAAAGGCCTTGGGGAAGAATATATATGGATTATATTGATAAGTTGCCAAAAAACAAAGGAAGGATATCAGTATTTATTAACTGCAACTGATCATTACAGTGGGTGGGCAGAGGCATTTCCTACGAAAAATAACGGAGCTAAGGTAACAGTAAGAAAATTGTTTTCTGAAATGTTTGCAAGGGTAGGAGTACCTAGTGTGATCAGTTCAGACCGAGGTTCAGCTTTCATTAGTAAAGAGATGGAAGAGATGGTGAAGGCCTTAGGAATAAAAAGGAAATTACCGTAAGTATTTCTTACAGGCCACAGAGTTCAGGAAAAATTGAAAGGGTTAAATGAACGATTAAAAAATCATAGAATCATAGAGTTGGAAGAGACCACAAG